CCCACCAGCCACTCCTCGGAAAGAAGACTGGGCAATCTACTGCCATAGAGATACTGCCTCAGAAACCCAAGGAGGGGTCACTATGAGTCGAATTGACTGGACGGCAGTGAGTTTGGTTTTTTGGTTTGTTTTTTCAGAGGGGTTTGATTAGAAAGGTCTGGTAATCTGCTTCTGAAAGGTCACAGCCTTGAAAACTCAATGGAGCACAGTTACTCTGACACATGGGGTCGCCATGAGTCAGAATCGACTCAGTGGAAGAGGATGGGTTTTGATTTTTCTTTGGTTTGGGTTATGAAAGGTAACGCTGTTCAAAATCCTGGAACTAGTCTGTAGACAGACAGTCCAGCCATACTTTCCAGAGTCTTGGCTTATATTCTAAAGTGGTTAGCCCTGCTCCCTTTGGGATTGATTTTAGTGAGAAAATTCTCCTTATCTGCATCATTGATGAAAGAAACAGGCCCATGATGTGATAAAACTACCAGTCAGCTATTCCATTTCATGCAGATATTTTACCCAGAATATTGACAGCCTTATGCTCATGCTACTCCAAGGCCATGTCCAGGGTAAGCTTTGTGCCAAAAAATGGATAGATTTGTCTTTTTCAGTTAGAAATGGTGTCTGTTACCTTTTGTGAATGAGAGCACATTGGTGGCTCACACTTTAACTTTGGAAGAGATTCAGTGGAAGTTACTCTGAACATTCCATTTCCTTTAATCTTTTCGTTTTTGTAATGGCCAAATTGGATGCATAAGTGACAGAATTTATCTTGCCAAAGACAGGGCTGCTAAGACAATGATGAAAATGATGATATCATGTATCGAGTATGTATGGTTTGTACAAGCTGGGCAGGTTACTTCCACAGAACATGTGTGTGTGTGTGCGTATCATCAGTATATATCAGAAGGAATTTTGCAGAACTGCAGTGTCCTATCTGGCAAGATTATGTTGTGCTCTTGATCTGTTAGATATATTGTTTACTTTTGCCTTATTTTCTATTTAAAAAGAAAATAAGTTTTTTTCTTTTTTAATATGATATTGTGCTACTGACCTGAAAATCTTGTTCTCATGTAGAAGAACAACCTTACACATTATAGACATGAAGTAAAGGTTTGTTGGAACCAAGACAAATTGAAACGTTGGCACATGGGGCTTCTTCAAAGGTTTATATTGAGATCAGACCCCCTGGATTTTTGTTGCATCCATGATTATTGTGGGACTGTTCTTACCTCTACAACTTTAGCATCAGTTCTTTCCATTGTTTTGGTTATTTTCAATGTTGATCTTTGTTACTTTTGTGTCCAGCTTATTGTAATAGTTAAAGAAGAAAAAGAGAGATTATACATATAAACTGCTATATGTTTATGAACTGCCTAGCTCTTACATTAAAGCTTAAACAAGAATATTCATGTAAAATATTCCTGTTCTCTAAAATCTTAGTATGAGAATTCCTTTTCTCAAATGTCCTCCTAGGTTTTTTTTTTCCTCCATAATAGCATTTTGTCTCTTGCATGGAGAGTTCAAGAATCTTCCAAATTGCCTTGAGCATTGGATTGATCAAAAAGAGTTTAATTAAAGGGTAAAACTTCTGGCTGAATGTCTATGACACATGTATTGAGAGATAACATTTCTTTCGGAAATTAAAATTATGTGAAAATTTCTCATTGATATTTTTCGTTACCTTGGGAAAATTTCAAACTTGCTAAAGATTTTAGTCTGTACACTACTCATATCATTGTTGCTCTCATTTCTGAAAAGATTACATTCTAACTACTTTTTTTTCACTATTTTTAGACTTAATCGAACACATTCTAAATCCTTTTAAACTTAAACAGAATAAAGCTTTGATAATGGGATATATCTTTGATTTCTACAATGAAACCTGGGAAAGCCAGAACTCAACAAGACTGCCTTATTTTTCTGGGTCTCACAAGTTTTCCACCTTTGACAGAGTGAAGTCAAAATATTTGAATTTTCCTTCTCTGACAGGTTTCTGTCTTATACAAGTTCTGGCTTTCATAAGTTCTACTGTCTAGGATTGAAGTATTTAAGTGCATTATGCAGCATATGGACAAATTACTAATATCATCACATGTTATAAGTGGTTACATTTGCAGAACTGTAACCAGCCTAAAAAAAAAAAAAAAAAAGGACACCAAGTATGGGAAACATTTAAATTGACGAATTTAGTAAATGTCCTTGATTGTGTTTTACATCAGAAAGTACCTATACCAATTTGGGAAAAGATTAGTCATCCCTTATGTTAAGTTTTAGTATTAGTAGTGTGAGGAAATAACTAAAAAAGTGACCCTCCCAACTTGCTAATTGAATTCAACTTCTATTTCCCATTTTAGCTCTTCTCTGATAATTAATCACTGTTGATTCTAGGATTTGAGTCAAATCTTGATCTTTTCTTCCCCCTCATGACAATGCTAGGATTAATATATGTAACACACACGTAATTAGAACACACCCATTTTGCTGGTGGTGATGTAAGACAGAATATTTAGTGTCTTGCATTGTACCTTTCTTCTCTTGTCCTTTCTCTCATCCCTGCAATCTTAAATACTTTTTTTTTTCCCAAGTCTAAAGTAAGCTAAAGAAATAAGACATACATAACTATAATGAGAAATGTAATTATTTTACTCATTATAAATAGCTGTCCCCATTGTTGATTAATTTTATATAGCTTGTCTTATGAACAAGTGATTGCCTTTGCTAAGTGCTACCCCAAAAAGCATGGTTAAAAGGACATTTCTGCTAAAAGATATATAGTAATGTTTATTTAGTTCATTTATACATAGTCTCCACTTTTTCCCTCTGTGTCTCTACTATGGCAATTGAAATTTGGCCAGAACATTTATTAATGAAATGTTGGAGGAAATGTATTTGTTAAAAATGATTTGACTTCTTGGTGAAATGGAAGAAATTGGAACAGATTAAAATTAAATGGCAGTGGAAGAGTCAGGTTAGTTTGGCGAACAGAAAGCTGGAGTAGGGTTGGTTTGCTGGCACTGCTTTCTTAGCAAAGAGAACAATTTTAGTCAGTTACAAAAATATTTGTGATCCATATGTTCCTCTCTGCTCACTCCCATATGCCCATATTCTCTTTTATCTTGGTAGATGATGACTTTATGATTCAGGCATGCAAGAATATACCTCGCTGACTCTAGAGCTCACTGCTATTTCAGAATGTGTCCTGGTAATTACACACACACACACACACACACACACATCCAGGCTGTTTGCACTTGGAGTTGGTTACCTACAGCAGGAACATCAGTTGTTTTTTTTTTCTCCTCCTTTCTTGAGGCAAAGAATTATATCTTGCATCCTCCTACTGAGGCTAGCATAATGCGTCTACAGCTTAAATTTGAAAACTGCCTTGCCTTTCACCTGTGGGAGTTTTCAATGCTACTGTATAAATAGGGCCAGAAAAAAGGAGGCAAGGGATGTGGAGATTATTGGGAACTTCATTGTCCTTGGGGAAAAAAAAAAAACAGAATCCAAAAAGCTTTGGGTGAGTTTGTCCATCACTGAAGCCTGTTCTAGAACATACTAGACAAAGGACTGGTAACTCATATCCATCCTTATTTTATGGCATGGTGGCTTTTATTTAATATTGAGTGTTAGTCACAGTAGCCATCGTGAAACTGGTCAAAATTAAAAAATTAAAATTACTGTTGACCAGCAATCAATGTTTGCCTTAAATGCATGTTTACTCCCTCCCCATAGCTGTGCCATTTCTAACAACAAAAGAACTATATTTTAAAGGTCAAACTATTCATCTTAAAATATGAATAAACCCAGAAATTATTGACCGTATAAGTGATCACATTTTCAACAGTTGTTTTCCTCTTGCACAACAAATGGCTTTGTAACCCAATATGTTGTTAATATAGTCACAGTAAAATCCTATGAAGAACCAGCTGTGCTCATTTAAACTTGAGTTGGGGGAGAGGTTTGTCAAGGAGGGGAGCAGAGAAGGGGAGGCCGAAAACAGGTCTAATTTTCAGCCTGTGTAACTGGTAGGCATTTTTTCAAAGGCAGCTATATGATAGAAGAGGTGTGCATGCCCTTGGATTTCACTGGTGTGCCCCAGAGAGGAGTTGCAGCAAAAGGAGAGACATACAGTTTGGTTTGGCAAGTGTTATTAAGAACCCGTCTCTATGTTTGCATTCAAGCTGTCTTTGCCACTGTTCCTGTAGGAGTTGTGTGAAAAAGAAAGTGCACATTAGAGCATGAATTGTTTTCAGAAGGCTCAAAGTTTGCAAATCTGTCGAATCCCTCTGACAGCGTCTCTCTGCTGTCAAACAGAATGCCCAGCTGGCAGTGGCAATCCTGGTGGGGAGGGGAGGGTAATGGATAGGCTTCCTTCATCATGCCCCAAGAATACTAGGAATTCTTCTTCCCAGACTGTAAGTGGAGAGGAAAGAGCTTTATCAGCCATGCTGTTATGAAAGTTTTGTTCTCTTTTCTAGTTTTACTTTTATGGGTAATGCCTCATTAAATCAAAATTTTTCATGATTCTTCATTAAGATAACTTCATAAAAAAAGGAGTCATGGAAACAGCGTTAAAGTGCATCATATTAATCTATAATTAAGACAAAGGTTTTGGTTAATATAAAGGAGGCAAGACTTTTGCTCATAGGTGATCTTGATTCTCATTGAAGCAAACACACAAGCTTGTTTTTTTTTTTTATTTTTTTAAATACAAAGTGCGAGATTTCACTAAAAAAGGTTAAAATTGAAGTGAGTAATCTTCGGTGCATAATGCAATTGTTAATTTTAGCTCCTTGCGTGGGTGCCGTTCTGACTTGAACAGCCGGCTGTAGCCTTCATTAGAGAAGAAGCAGGCAGCTTGAGACAGGTGGAGCCGGATCAAGCTGTGAACGTGATTTGCTGGAACTGGTCATTAGTGTTAGAAATCCAGTCTTATTTATTTCGTTCTTCACCCTACCATGATCATGGCAATTATTATTATTTACTTTTCATCTTTTTTCAGGTTGACGATGATGTGTCAAATTGTGTAAAGGCATCGCATGGAGATGGGCATCTTGAACTGTTAATGGGGACATGGGACTCCGGTTGTCTCTGATCACTTGTGTGGATTTTCCTGGTGTAGAACGACAGAAGCCGCCAGTAAGTCATCAAGACCTACAGCAGGAAATCTGCGAACAAGGTAAAAATCTTGTTGTCTGACTGTCATCTCATCTGTATTTTTTATGTGTATACAAATGTTATTTTTTGCATACAAGAGTTCATTTTGAAAGTACCCAAAACAGATAGGCTCTGTATCAGGACCTTGACTGGCTTATCGTTTGGAAAATTAAAACTCCATTTTTTCACTACATTGCAAATCTGTTTATTGAAACGCTCTGGTAAGAGAGACTTAGGGTAACAAAAATCCTCTCTGCTCCCCCCCCCCACCCAACACATTGAGAAACAAGCTGTTTACCGTTGGAAAACAGAATTTTTTATTTTGTTAAGCACACACATTCATCAAATATCACTGAAATATGAGAAATTTGTTAGAATGCATTAGATGGAATATCCCAAAACTTCCCAAAATCTAAAAGCATCTCTCTTTAAGCAGTCACATACTCCAGCCACCGTCGTTTAGGAAAACTTTCCTTTTAAATTCCCATAATCCTTTTCCAAATGAGCCTGCATTTTTTCAAATGTATCATTAGATACCATCTGTTCTGTCATGGTAAGTTTTAGCAAATTTGCAACAAAAATTGCTGGGTTTTAGATTTTTCTCATGCCTATTTCCAGTTGGAAATAAAGTTACTGAATTCGTACATGGTAATTAAACACTCTCAAAGGAACATATCGAAACACTGATTTGTCTAATATTAATTACCCTTGCAGTCAACGGGACAGTCATTGCTTGGGAATTTTTGTGAAAGAACTGACTTTCTAAGCTACAGTTTCTTTATTCTTCCTTTCTCTCTTATATTCTTTTCTCTCTCTCTCCTTTTCTCTCTTCTCTCTCTCTTTCCCACAATTTAAAATTAAAAAAAATTAAGAGGAAATAAATGCTAAATTATTCATGAACCTCAGTTGACAGCACATCAGAGGGAGACTGTCAGGGATTATGGAGGTAGGGAGAGAAAAATAATAACAGGCTTTAACTTTGAAAAGCTGTTTCCAGTGCCGGTATAGTAGTCTATTGTGAGCCTGGAGTAGCGGAGTTCAGTTGCGATAGCTTCATTAAAGCTGCCTGCCAAGGACTACCTTCTGCAGGATCCCTGTGTTCTTGCTACTGACAGGAGCTGGGGACACGGCTTAGCCTTTTAATAATGTAGCTGTCAGTTTGAAGCCTGAAAATGTTGACCCTGAGAGGTTTATTGCCAAATTTAGATACATATTTACACTGAATTATTACCTCCTCAATTGATTTTTGCCCCTATAGAGTGTACTGTATTCTTAAAGTGTCTCTGTGGTTGAAACCTTGCAAATAATTTTTGAGTGATCTTAGAGGAGCTGCAGAACACTGATGCCACCTCTTGACTCAGAAGTTGAGGGTCATTGGCTCAGGAGTTAGAGGAATAGTTCCTCTTCTTCTTCTCCCCCTTTGCAGTGGGGCAGGGGCATTGGTGTGTGTGTAAGCGTTACACATCTCCATGCAAGATTTGTTGACCCATTTTGATGGCAAGGTGTATTCAGACATGTGTGTGTGTGTGTGTGCGTAGGGGGTGTAGATGGGTGGCAGCATCTGCATCCTGTGTGTGCCTTAAGTACTTAATCTTATTTGATTCTTCTTTTTCTGTAAAACTGGCAGGGATGTCTGAGTTGCTCATTTGGGTTTGAAACTAAGGGAGAAATGAAATAGTTGGAGGATATTAGTAAATATTGCACACTACTAATTTAATTTTTTGGCATCTTGACTTCCCAGGGCATCCAACCTTGTTATTTTAATTTGTGTCTGGGAGAATGTCTGAGCAAAGTGACCTGAATCAGGCGATAGTGGAGCAAGGCGGGACTGAGCAGGAGCTGGCCACTCCAGAGAACGGTGTGGTTAAAGCAGACAGCCTGGATGAAGAGGAGAAGCTGGAACTGCAGGTGAGCCAAAGAGTCCTGAGACTCACACCTTGCATGCCATTTCCTTCCTTTACAGATTGCATTGTGTTCTTTCTGTTTTCCTCCTCCTTTTTTTAAGAGCTTGACTAGTTAAATGAGTAAGAAATCCTTAAAGCAAATCCTCTCCTTTCCCAATTATTGGTCAATTTTTTTTCCTCCCTAACAGACCTGGGCCCTAAAATGCCTTTTTTGCAATGCAAAATTTCCCAAGAAAGTATTTCATGTCAGAATTTGCACACATCATCCCAGTTGTGATTTCTAGACCATGTCAAAGTATTTAAGGGGGGATTCTCCTATGGTGTCTTTAGGCCAGTTCATTTTTAAAAACAGATGTGCTATTCTATGGGAAACCTGAAGACCCAACTCATACTATACTAAGGAAAATCAAAGACATCAGCTCTGTCAACCTTCATGGACATTGTAAGATTCAAATCTGATTAGCAAGCAATCCTAAACCCTAGAATTTGTGCCAAAGAGAGTGATCAGAAAGGAATAATAATAATAAAAAAGAATGTGAGGGATTGACAGAGACTGAAAAAGTAATGTGGTTAAATATGCCAGGATTATGAGACAGGGATCTGGTAGAGATCAAACCATGCTTACCAATACCCTGTAAGTATTCCACATCATCACAAAATGGCCAAAGTTTTCAAGATGGAATTTTCCCCTGTCCAACAGTGGCTGTAGGGAGAGAGATTTAAAGGGTCAATGCTCCAGTTTGTGGAAGGTGGGGAAGAAGGAGTTCTCCCTGGTGGTTATAATGCCTCCTTGCTGTTGTTGATTTCTCGACTCTCCTGACACCTTTTACATCTCTCTCTCTCTCTGGTGGTTGTTGGTACACTGTTTGTTTTATTTTGTGTTTTACTTTCTTTTCTAATGTGCAGAGGCGGCTGGCGGCTCAGAACCAAGAGAGAAGAAAATCCAAGGTAGGGTTCTTGAGAGATTCTATGTAGACCCGATATCATGGATACAAAGCGGTTATTTCACATCAGAGTTAAAGGGCTTGTCAGTAGTTCAGATGGTCGTGCACAGATAGTGTGGTGGGTCTTGGACTTCCAGCCTTGTCTACTTTTCTTGCGGTTGCAGTCCAGCACGTGTTTCTTCCTCGCTCTTTGTGCTTTGCATGTAGAGCATTTGGGGTACAGCATAGCTGAAAATGTATGCATTTGATGCCATTTTTGCACTTGGAACTTGACAGTGCTTTACAAAAGCAATGATAGGCTTTTATCAAATTTCATTTAAATAGAACTGAGAATTGGTGTTTTGGTCTTACCAATGGATTTCTGACTCTGTAGTACCCTTGGTGTTATTACAGATTCTTCCTCCTTTCAAGCATCTTTTCAAATCCCCTCCAAGCTTAGTTTCAGTAGAAATGTATTTATTTGGTCATTTTTTTCTCCTTACATGTTCATGAAACAGCAGAGATTTATTTCTCATGCCTGTATTCTCAATGTGATGGGCAGTTTGCTGACTGTGTCCCTTCACTGCATCCATTCACACTCCCCTCCCCTCCACTGCCAGCAGCAACAGAGTTCTGATGCCAGGGCCCAGCGTAGACAGCCCTGGGCAGCTGACTTGGCACTCAGTTTTAAAAAGCTGATTTGAGAATTTACCGTGAACGTGGAGATGTTTGGTTAGACTGGGAATGTTTTCCATTTGTTTCTTTATTTTCTTTTCTTTCCCTTTTCTTTTGCCCTCCCAGTCAGGAGCAGGGAAAGGTAAACTGACTCGCAGTCTTGCCGTCTGTGAGGAGTCCTCAGGCAGAGCAGGAGGCGAAAGTCTTCAGGATCAGGTACTTCCCCTGTCTTTACCGTTAGTTGCATGAACGGAATCCACTTCTATGTGCATGTGTGTTAGTACGGTATTAAACAGTATTTTGGGGGAGAAAAAAAAGAGTAATTGAAGACAAGAATTAGTTTTCTGGCTTCATCCCCTGTTTATGAGACATTCGAAAATAGTTTTACAGTTTGTCACAGAGTATTACGTTTGCTTTTTTCCAGACCCTCTGAAAACTGCAAATGGAAAGGAATTCAAAAGAATTTAGATTAAAACTTACATAAAAAGTAAGCACAACAGTGCGGTATTTCCTCAAAGGCTCTCTCTTGATGAGGCTGCACCAAATATAGTCCTAAGTATCCCGTCTCCCTCCTTAGTGGAGATATCTTACCTCTCAGATCCCCAAGATGCACTGGCCTATAAGAAACACAACTCTTGGCTTTTATGAAACTTAAGAAAGTAAATAAGGTGCATTGAACTTGGGAAAAATACTTTTATGGCCTTTGGTGGAGGTTTCTCAATCCTGCAAAAATTGTCCAGAAATGAATCTGAGTTACTGATGGCTTTAAGTTAATATTAGTAAATCTCTGTGTACACTTACCCTCATTTTCACTCCTTTAAAGCAAGATTATTAGATTCTAAAAACTCAAATTTTAACAAAACACATCCATGGAAAAATGGGAAACTTCACATCCTATTTATTTTTTGTTCACATTTTAGACATCATATTGGCTTTTATAAAAAACAACAAAAAAGTCTTGCTGCTGAAATTTCCCTTATTTTATTGGAGGCCAAGAGCAGTCAAGGCAAGAAGGAAAATGATTTATCTGAGCCCAGGGGAGGGAAAATTGATTAAGATATCATTAGTTGAGTTTTGTTTTGTTTTGCTTTTCTCTTCTTACTTTAATTGAAATACTCAAAATTCTCCTCATGGATACAGAGAGCATTAGTGAGCATTGAGAGCACTTTCTTTAAAAGGACCAAAAATAAATTCCTTCTAGATTTGTCCTAAGAATGTGTGTGGGTTTTTTTTCCCCCCCTTGGCTCATTTTCTTAACACGCCACTCATGTCGAAATGGCATGGACAGGCTTTCAGTTGTCATCACTATGTTTCAAACACAAGCTTTATTTCACCTGGGCTCTGAGAAATGTGTGGCTTTTCTTCAGCATTTTATTTGTGCTTCTATTTTTCATGGAGATTGAAAAAGGGGAACTATGTGAATATCACATCTTGTATTATTAAATGTCGATGGATGGCTTGTAATGCACTGCTCCTGATACATGTTAACTCTGCAGACTGACAGACCCTGGGAGAAGTAATGCCCCTGTTGCCCCCACCCCTAATGCCAGGCAGGGGAGGACAGCCTTTATAGACTTAATCTGCTTTGTGTCCCATTTCACAAGGTACCAGGAGGAAAATTTTTTTAAGAGGCTGTCTGTGTCATAGTGCCCGTCCTGGACTTAAGTCTAGTTTCTCCGTACAGTTGGTGCAGAGAAATCAGATGCAAACGGTGCTTTGTTCCTGCTGGCTCCAAGCTCAGAAACTAAGACTAGTTTTGTAGGGGAGAATTAGAGCCTGCCCGCTCCTCTTTGGACTGGCTGAGGGATGGTGGGAGTAGGGGGCTGATAGAAAATATCCGGACACACGTCTAAGCAGGAGGCCATGCTACTTTCTCAGAAAATAAAGGAGCAGACCTTTGTGCTTATGTGCATTGCCTTCATTAGGTACCACCGGCATTTACAAAATGTGGGGAACTGAATCCCAGAGAACACTGGCAGAAGTATACAGTATATGGATTGTACTGCTTCCCCAATGTTTGTATATTCACAGTATTTGGAGAACTGCCTTCCTTTTCCTGTGTGGGAAAAACTCTTGCTACCTGTATTACTTGATCTCAGACCCAGACCTGATGGTTCAGTCTGTCCTTAAGTTAAAGGAGTTTTGCTTTTCTAATGTTATACTATTTACCTATCAGTGTATAACTGCAACTTGAATCTTTCTTTTATTGTTGGATATAAACTTATCCTGTACCAATGTATTTATTAACACTTGTATTTTATTATTGAGCATATCAATAAAAATATTAAAAAAGAACAGATTGTTTTTTACCAACTCTATAGCACTTTTGTGTGTTCTTTCAATATCATGAGGCAATATTTATGTCTAGAAAAGACAGGTATTTTTCTGAGCATCATATCTGTCAACACATAGCATCAGTTTGTACGTTCTTGTAGATGATGGTCTTTAGATTCTGCTTTTGCATTTGTAATATATGTCCAAGCCTCTTTGATTTTAGATTTAAACTCACAGAGGCTGGGTGGTTCAATCAGTTTTGAAGAAGCAATGAGACCACTTTCATGGCTTGAGTACCCTCAGTTTCCCCTCCTTATCAACCATCAAATTGACTCTTCCCCACCCTACTCCCCACCATGTCTTCTGAGCCAGAACTGTTCTAGCAAGTCATATAATCCTAGAACCTTCCTGAACCATTGCAAGATAAGACTTTTCTGTCCCAGATCACGTGATAAGAGACCCTATAACCAAATTACACTCACTTGTATCAACTTTGTGTATGTCTATCACAAAGATAAACATGTGGAAGTCAGGAAAACTAGCTCAGATAAATATTTAGCACGAGAGTGTGTTTTATTTCACCCTTTGTATTCTGTACCTTTCCAACCTCAGTAACTTTTTATTCCAGCCAGCAGTAACACAACAGAGCCCCTCCTTAAGAAGACACTTGGCTGTGATTTATGCTTACTAGATTGGCCAAGTTTAAGAAGAACCACTAAGAACCCCATACTGACTATAATTGGAGAAGGTACAGGCATCAGTTTAGTCAATATAGAGGGAGGCTTTAGCTTAGTTTTTGGTGAGAGACACTATTAGTCATTGGGAATATATTTTTTCCTACATCATAAATTTTAATGTCACTGGTGAAAGAAAGCTTTCCTATCAAGTAACCTCTTATATAAGAATGGATGGGATTGGCTCATTTGTCACAGTTTTAATAATAGCATGGATTTTTCAAAAAATTTAAAAAACCCAAAACATGATTTGGCTCATTCTTCTTCAGGACAGTGAACATACTATCAACCAAATGACTGATATATTTTAGTTAATAAAAAATTATCTGTTTTGAGTGCAAGAAAAAAAAATGGGGATACAGCCCCAGTACTTTAAATGATCAATCTGACATGGCACTGGAAAGGATTGACTGATACAAAAATGAAAATAATATTAAATACTTACATTTCATTGATGGCAAATATAATACTTTCTACCTTTTCTAAAAGGCAGTGTTTATTGTGATTATATATCATAATTATTTATTAATGAGATTTTTAAACAATTATAACAGTAATCCATATCTAGTTTCCTGTAATTATATAGTTTATATTTTTGTGGTAGTAGAAATCATTGTTGATACAGTTCTAAAATCGACTTTGTATTGTAAATTGACTATTAGGGTCTTTATTTATGTCTGTTCTATCTGTAGTTATGATTCATAATATCTGTCTGTCTGTGTTTGTGTGCTAATTCCTCCTTATAAGGAATTACAGAAAAGAATCACAGAAGCCTTTTTTTTTTTTTTTTCTTGAGACATTACAGTGCCTGTGATGCAAGCTTACTGAAAAGGAATTTTTCCTAATGTTTAAAAATAAACCTGTAGAGAAAGTAAGAGTTGTGATCTACCAGCATTTAACTTGCTTCATGTCAATATTCATGAGGCAGAGTTTTAGTGCTAGATGATTCGCCTGACCTCCCATTGACTTCTAAAGCTGAATTCTTCTTAAAGGGCAATTATTTTTCTGACAGGTTTAATTTTTTACCATTTAAGAGAACAAAGCAAAACAAAACAAAACAAAACTGCACCTGGCTTTCATTTTCCTATACTTAATAACCTCAATGGAAAATGAAAACCAAGCAGAGATGATTAAATCTGGCCCTAAATTATTATATTTTTTCCCCAACAGGAATCAATTCATTTACAGCTTTCCAGTTTCCCCAGCCTGCAAGAGGATGATAAATCTAGGAAAGATGACTCTGAGAGAGAAAAAGAAAAGGATAAAAACAAAGATAAAACCTCTGAAAAACCCAAGATCAGAATGTTATCAAAAGGTGAATGTGGAAATGTTTCCTTAATTTACTCAATTTGGGCACATAGTTAGTTTTAGAATACCTTCTCCATTTCAAGAGGAATATTCACCTCCCACCAGATGTGTCACATATGATTCTGTATGTGTAGGTATGTGTATGTGCAGAAAATGTGGACTTGATTCCCTTTCCATTCATGGTGTCATTCTTTGTGTAGACAGAGTGGTTTTTTTTGGGGGGAGGGGAGGTTAGAATCACGTATTTCTTTGGATTTACATTTGGATCTCCTATTTCCCATGACAAAGCACACAACGGAGTGACTATAAATCTGTTTTTAATTCAGGTTTATTGGTTCAAATAACTTGATGGATGAACAGTAATGACATTCAGTTTTATATCTTAACTCTCATGCTTATCTTAAAAGACAAAAAAAAAAAAGGATGAGCAACTCTCAGTAGAAAAGTGGTGAGACCCCCAGAGCACACTTGTAGCTGTCAGTGGGATGCATGATTAACATTTTGTCTAGGACGATGAATCTGGTCTCTGCGCCCCATACTGTCTCATAAGTTCTCTGGGAAAAAAAAAAAAAAAATACACATCTACTTCAATAAAAAGTCTGCCAGGAAAGCCCTAAACTAAAAATTCATTCAGATTTTAGTTGGTGCCATAAATATAAATGTATAAAACTCAAAAAAAAATAAAGTTGAAATGAAGAATGACGAAAGAGATGCATATGAGTAAACAGGCTGCGGTAGGTTTATTATTTCTTTGTTTTAATAACTGGGAAGGCTAGGTCGCTTGATCAGTTGAGGAATGACAACGACAGAGATTATTCTCTGTCGCGGTACATGTGCTTGTCACGGTTGTCTCTGCCAATGTGTATCTACAATCCAGGGCATATCCAAGACGAAGGAGATGCAGATTCTTAAAAGAGTTTTAGAAATTAAGCTTCAGCCAGCAGCAGAAGGAGATTTGGGAGACCTGACAATATTTAGTGCCCTCCTGTGTTTTATTCTGATTAATATTTACATATTCTTATGACAGAATTGATGTTCATTTTCCCTGCCTTCTCAGTTTTGAAAAAGGGTTACTTGTGAGAGCGCTCTATGTGGGCTGGGAGTACCTGTCATGTGAAGGGTGTACCCGTGCTGATTTACAGAACAGAATGAACACATGCTATATGACTCCACCCAGCCCTCTTCACCCCCACCATGACTGTGCCCACTTCCTGGCCTCTGGCAGTTGGCCCTTCCCACCCTCACAGTCTCATGGTTGTTCTCAATCCTTGAGTCTCATTTTCATTCTGATGTCACACTGCCAGGTTGCTAGTTTGACACTTGCATGTTTCATACCAATAGCTTCACCTAAAATTTACCTCAGCAGGAGTGGAGCAAGAAAGGGTGGAAAACCTCCCCCACCTCACCTCCCCACCATCATTCCTGACAACTTCATACTGCTATTTATTTCAGATTGCAGCCAAGAATATACGGATTCTACAGGCATAGATTTACACGAATTTCTGATTAACACATTAAAGAATAACTCCAGGTAACTTCTTAAATAAGCCTCTTATCTTTAGAAAGATCAGATAGAATATTAGAATCAAAGTTGTTAATCCAGATGTTTCTAGGAAGACAGTTGTAAAATGTTGGTACCTTCCTCATGTCTTACACTAGCTCCTGTATTTTCTTTTTCTTTTTTCTTAATAGTTTGCATGTTTACTGTTTATAGATAGTCTTAATTGCTGGTAAGCTATCCCAATGAATAAACTGTAGCATACCAGTTCTGTGTTCCTGGTCACCAGAAGATAATCTACCAAGGGAAAACTCAGAGTCTAAGAGTTATTGATGTTAAATGAACCAATTATGTTTCAATGTGGTTAGATGTCCATCTGCAGTCAAGTAGGGCCTTGCCTTGTTCCAGGCTCTTGTTCCTTTGAAAAATACTATTTATCTGATATGCTGTATAGAGTACCTTGCATGTCATAACAGAAATGTCCAATAGTTTTCAGTGCTTAACAAATGAGAGGAAAAAAAAAAAACTTAAGTACAATGAAATAATATGTAAATGGTTGGCACATTCCAGAGAAGAGTTAGATAAAGATCTGCAGCCACAGGCCACGTGCATCTAAATGAACTGTTTAGGCCTTGGAAATGGAAAGTTCATAAAAAAAAACCTTTTTATTATAATATTTATTTTTCAGGGACAGGATGATACTCTTGAAAATGGAGCAGGAAATTATTGATTTCATTGGTGACAACAAGTATGTTCAATTGCAATGCTGGTTAATTTATACCATGTGTTTTAGCTTGGTATTGGATTTAATTATCTATTTACAGATAGATAAAGCATCATTCAATTTGTTTCCTGGTTTGTTCAATGGCAATGCTATTGGAGTTAAGAGTTATATGCTGGTGGGAATTGTTACTTGGACCATGTGAGCTCTTGCTTGTTAAATTCCTGACAAAATGGCTATAAACAGGAGGCCACTGATTAGCATAGAGTAGCTGTAGCAAGAAGCGACCCTTTTCGTTTTTATTATAGTTTTTTAATGGGCTCCAGCTGGCTGCAGTCAGTTATGCCTGGAAATAATTGTGCTGCTTGCAGTCCGAACAGTGTAATGACACATCTCCAGATAGGCATCTGCTATCACGTATTATGTCACATCATTTGTCCTGTGCCTGGCTACGTTAATAAGGTTTCATCAACTAGAATAAAATGCTGTCAAACAGATATTAAGTTCTCTTTGGCAAAAGAAATATGCAACTATGAAACAATGATACTTATTGTAGCTTAATCAATAACTCTATAATAAGTAGAAAATTCGTCTGGAAATGAGGACATGAAGTGATGCCAAAGAGATGAAAAAGGTTTACTGGTTGGAATGAAAGAGAAATGGTTTTTGTGTGTACCTGTAAAACCTAACACAGGAAAGCAACTGAAATGCTGATTGCACGTTTTCTTGCACTGTGTTCCAGTAATCATTATAAAAAGTTCCCTCAGATGTCGTCCTATCAGAGGATGCTTGTCCATCGGGTGGCAGCTTACTTTGGCCTGGATCACAACGTGGATCAAACAGGGAAATCTGTTATCATCAACAAGACCAGCAGCACCAGAATGTAAGCTTCATTCTTGAATTTATTTAGCATTTTCTTTTTCTCCTCTGGATTCATTTATAAGAGCACAGTATAAAATTCAAAGTACATGACATTTAAAATGTGCCGTGTTCTTTATCTCTTGCTTTTATCAGCAGTCATGTGGCATTTATCTGTAGAAGATTATTTGAGGACTGGGAAAGTTTATAAAATTCAGACAACAAAGTAGACTTAGTCTCTAACCTTTTACGTAGTTCCTGAAACATGTTTTCTTTTTTCCACTGGAACTCCATGTAGTGACTTACAAAACTATGAGAAATTCTATGTCAAAGTATAATACAAATGAACAATATCAGACTTTTTTTTTTTTTTTTTTTTTTACTGTGACATATGCAGGACAAGTGTCATTTTTGTCTCCTTTTCTGGTTTTAGACATCTATCTTACTGTCATTTGTAGAGTAAAAAAGCTTTGAACCTGGAGACAGAAATTCTGATTCTAAAACCCAGTCCCTCTTACTAGCTGTGTGCCTTGGAGAAAGTAATTTAATCTTGGATTTCAGTTCACCTGTAAAATGATTGAGGTAGATGACATCTAAGTTCTAGCTCTCAAAGGAAACTGGTAGATTTTTCTTTTTCCCATAAAACTATTGTTTGTTTTTATCTTAATGTGTTTTCATTGCCCACCGAATCACCAAAAGACAGAATGAGTGGTCCTTTGCTCTGAAGTCTATGCGCTTTCTCTCTTGAACTCATGAATCTTTTGAGTACAGCGTAAGCCCATTTTAGAGCAAAATGCATGTTACATTCAAACACCTTCTCAATGTAAAACAAGCACATCTGTATATTATAACTTCCTTTTCCCCACTCTGCTTGGTAAATTGCATGGTCTTTAGGAATCCGATGTTAGCAAAGGGAGCTTTCCTGTGAAGCAGAACAGTATAGTTGAGACACTCTATTCTCTGTTCACCAGAGGCTGGGACAAGTGGGGATGGAGCTGAGTGAGGCTCTTTCTCTACTCAAGGCCCAGTCTGTGCTTAGCAGAGAGGAGTGAAGGCCCTAGTGGCCAGCGAACAAACCAGGAGACCTGGGACCCAACTCTCAGGACTGTTATCTCTGGGACACTGAGCACTTCACTTCTCTGATCTTCAAATCACTTATTCATCTGCCGGACAGTTTTAAGTAGATAATGTTTAAGGACCCTCGAAGCTTCAGTAGTACTGGATCCTGCGGTTACATTCTAATGTGCTGGGAAAATATATTTTAAAATTTATCGTCTTTCCAGTTTGTCTGCTTGTTGTCACTTGTGCCTCCTGTTTTGAACTGTTGTAGGAATTAGAGGTCACTGTCCTTCAATTCTTTACATCTTTGCTTTCCATCAAAAGTCCTCTTCTCTCCCCACCACTGCTCCCCACCCCCCATTTCACCATTCTATTTTTTCTTGGGGTTTTCAGTTAGCACAGTGTAGGGGCACTCTGATTGCAAAATAGATAACCAAATGACTATCTCTTTTTAAAGAATTTTTCCCTCTCTTTTTTGTTTATAACTCTATACTAAGCAAAAAAAAAAAAAAAAAAAAACATGGAAAAGCCCATAGATCAAGTAGGTTAAATTAGAAACACTTTTGATTGTTAGGGAAAGTGGATTTATTTCTAATTCACTTTGATTTATGGCACCCCCATAGTCATGAATATTACTACCTATTTTAGAGACCTGTTTTCTTCTAAGATAGTTTTGGAAAAAATTGAGTAATGAATAAAGACTCTTGGTAAACTTTAACTGATGGCTCTAAACCTACCTTGTCCAAGATGGTAGTCACTACCCACTGATGACTATTTAAATATTAATTTAAGTTCATTAAATATAAATAGAATTAAAGCTTTAAATTCAGTTGCTGAGTAGTGTGGTGCCTAAGGCACTTGACTGCTAACCAGAGGGCTAGTGGTTCAAACTCACCAGCCACTCCGGAAGGAAGATGGGGCAATCTACTTCTGTAGTGATACCGCCTCAGAAACCCAAGGAGGCATCCTATGAGTCGGGTCCGACTCGACGGCACATAACAACAACAACAGTTGTACTTGCCAAGTTTCAAGTGTTCATATGGTACACAACATTACTGTCATTGTAGAAAGTTCTAATTGTCAGTAATGCCTAAACCCTGTGATTCTCCCAAGTTGCTAAATAAACTAGGAGCTATAATTTCTCCTTTAAAACTTTTATTCTCTGGCCAAAAGACATCATATACTAGACTTCATCACTTCCAGAAAAGCACCAGGGTCCCCCCACCCCAGATATTTTTAAAATAGGACCACATGTTTGTGCCTAATGAAGAGTAGAAAGTGAGTGTGGGCAGAGAACACCTCTATAAGGCACTGTTGCTATAGAATTGCCAGGTCTCAGTCTCTGCCTAGTTCCTTGCTCTTACACACCACACTAACCACACTGTAGCCCCCAGGCCGTGAGTCAAATCATACATAAACAAAATAGCAAATGGCTACCTGGCATGGACTCTCAAGGCAGTTCTTGAAGAATTGAGCTTAACAATATATTCACGCCACAGCTGTCAAGTTATCCTAGTCCATTCTAGTCACATTTTTTGAACATTTCCTATTTGAGTAGCTCTTGAGGGAATGATTGATAACTTTTAGGACAAAAAGGAAATGAATAACGTGTTTGTTTCAGATAATGAGAAATCCAAATTGTCAGCACCTGAATTATTGTTGGCAGTTTTGGCAAAGGAGAAATGCTGTTTTCTGCAGTGTTATCTGTTTGACTTTAAAGTCTGTTGCCATGATTGTCGGAGTTGAAGTTGGAAGCAGTGGACATGTGATAGCCATGAGAAGCATCTTTGTTTAGAAGCGTTATCAAATGAAAATATTTTCAGTTATTTAAAGGTGGGACTCTGAGATGGGAATTGCTCAGTTGGGTCCTTGTTAAGTTTATGTTTTGGAAATTACTTTTATAGCATACAGTTCTATACTTCCCTAATGCAAATACATGAACACTTTAGCTTGGGAGAAAAGCAGCAATGCAGAGAAATGTGCATAGAGAATACAAAAAAAAAATGAACTAAAGGACAGAGGGAGCAAAAGTACTCTTTATAAGGATATTTAATTGTTCTTTTTCAGTGAAACTGCATTGGCCTATCAGGTTCTTCTCTGGCATGTATATAAAAATAACAGTAACCATATCAGCTCTATATTGGTTGGGTTTTTCTTTTTCCTGAGAATCACTGCTTTTCTAGATGATAGACAGTTCAAGTAATTATAGAATGTGATTTGACATGGTTATGTTCTGCATGTACAAAATATTTGTTGTTGTTGTTGTCATGTGCCGTTGAGTCGGCCCCGATTCATAGTGACCCCTCCTTGGGTTGCCGAGACAGTATCACTGTGGAAGTAGATTGCCCAACCTTCCTTCTGAAGAGTGGCTGGTGGGTTTGAACCGTCAGCCTTCTGGTTAGCAGTCAAGTGCCTTAGGCACTATGCTACCAGAGCTCCTACAAAATATTTTGTGATGTGCAAAATATGTAGATCGTAACAACACACTGTGTGTATGTGTTGTACTCACATCTGGTACTTTTCTCTAATATAGTCAGATATAATCCATGACTGAAGGAATTTGTCTCATGACATACTTCTCTATTAGTTAAAAGATACCATATCTTACTTATAATACCATTGTTGTTGTTGTTGTTACGTGCTGACTCATAGCGACCCCTCCTTGGGTTTCCAAGGCAGTATCACTACGGAAGTAGATTGCCCAACTTTCCTTCTAAGGAGTGCTGATGGGTTTGAACCACCAGACTTCTGGTTAACAGTCAAGTGCCAATGCTACCAGAACTCCTATAATACCATTACAAAAAAACAACAACAACAACAAAAAAAACAATTCTACCACCATAGAATCGATTCCAATCATAATGACCCTGTGGGGCAGAGGAGAACTGTCTCTAGGGTTCCCAAGGCTATAAATCTTTAGGAAAGCTGACTGGTGCATCTTTCTCCTGAGGAGCTGCTGCCAGGTTTTCCCCACTGACCTTTTGGTTAGTGTCCACTGTGCCACGTGGCTCCATAAATTACTATTTATTCATTGTGCTGCATACGTAACTTAGTGTATCATGTATATTATTTCTTTTATTCACCAAGACAAATTTACAACATAAATACTTACAGCCTCATTTTACAAAAGAGGAAGAAAATGAAGCACATACTAGAGTTAATTTTTGGACTCATAGGGAAGCAATGATTAGCATGGCTGGGATTGAGAGCCGTGTGCTTAATGCAAAAAAAAAAAAAAATTCTTAAATAATATGACTCTCTTTAAGCAAACACATCTAGAACATCTTAAATAAAGTCATCATAATGATTCCCTGGATTAGCTGAGAGATCCAACTCTTTTCAACTCCTCCCTTTTGTTTAAATCTAACCAGAAATGTTGATTGAAGGAGGTTTTTTTTGAGATTATTGGCATCAGTAAATACCAGAACCGTCCTGCAATTTGATAGTTCTTACTAGATTTACTGTGCTTATTATTGGTACAGGAAGCTCTGGTGGCATAGCGCCTAAGGCATGTGACTGCTAACCAGAAGTCTGCAGTTCAAACCCACGAGCCACTCCTCGGAAGGAAGGTTGGCCAATCTACTTCCGTGGTGATACTGGCTCAGTAACCCAAGGAGGGGTCGCTATGAGTCAGATCTGACTCCACAGCAGTAAGTTTGGTTTTTGGTTTATTATTGCTACAAGGAGCTCTGGTGGCATATTGCCTAAGGCATTTGACTGCTAACTAGAAGGCTGGAGGTTCAAACCCAGCAGACACTCCTCAGAAGGAAGATTGGGCAATCTGCTTCCATAGAGATACCACCTGGGAAGCCCAAGGAGGGGTTGCTATGAGTTGGAGCTGACTGAACAGCAGTGAGTTTTTTGTTTGTTTGTTTGTTTGTTTTTGTTTTTTATTGCTACAAGATTTAATACTGGAGGTGTCCATTAAATTTAAGCCTTGCTTTACTTCATTTCCCTCTTTTTTTC